CCCCTCCTCTCAAGGATGCTGGAGCGACCGCGACGAGGTGGAGAACTTTGAGCAGCGCTTCCAGGAGGAGCTCATCAAAGCGGAGAAGCGGCGCGAAGTGGAGACCGAGATTCGGCTTCAGGTGGGCGGAGGGGTTGGGTTTCATCCCTGGACTGCACAAGTCTCTTGCCGCATCAAGTTTCCAGCCCTCAATGAGTAGCATGGGTGAGCTCCCTCTGTCAGCTCCGGGGGGGGGGTGTTGGGTTTCATCCCTGGACTGCACAAGTCTCTTTGCCGCATCAAGTTTCCAGCCCTCAATGAGTAGCATGGGTGAGCTCCCTCTGTCAGCTCCAGCTCACCATGTGGGGACATGAGAGAAGCCTCCCACAAGGATGGGAAAACATCAAAACATCCGGGCAGCAACCCCTGGGCAACGTCCATGCAGATGGCCAGTTTTCTCACACCAGAAGCAACTTGCAGTTTCTCAAGTCGCTCCTGAAAGGGAAAAAAAGTAGAAAGACAGGAAATAGGATTAGGCTGAGGGATCCCCCCCCCCCCCCCCCCCCCCCCACATACACACACACACATACACACATTCCTCTGCATGTTTTTCCTAGAAAGGGCTTTGTCTTTCCTCTTCCTCCTTGCCACGGTCTCCTCCCCTTTGATGATGTAGCAATGGAATTTTGTGAGGGAACTTCCTTTGCAAAAGTATTTTTACCGCTCTGGGATTGACCGTGTGGTCTCCACCATTTTCCAGCCTCTTCTGCTTTTCTTCCTTCCAGTCAGGATGCACTTTTTGCCTCTTTTTTAAGGCAAAATGTAGCTGCATGGATTTTTTAAAAACTTTTTGTCCTTTTACCTTTCTTAGAAAGTGAGACTTAGTAACCTAGTCATCTCCAAGACCTTTTCTATCTAGAATGCATTTCTTTTACTTCAATAAATACTTTTGAACCTAAAGTTCTGACTCTACAATCCTGATCCATCCTAAGAATAGAAGCTTCTCCCAGCTCATCCCACTTTAGTTTCTACTGGTTATGAAGTTCCCAAGTTGTTCAGCTGAGGGGCACTCATGTCATTCAGGGCCAGGAGCCACACAGTGCCCCCCCCCCCCAAGCTGGTCAGCCACATGTTGGACCTTGCCTTCCTCTTCCTCTTCCCCTTCTTCTTCTTTTTCCTCTTCTTCTTCTTCTTGTTCTTCTTCTTCTGGTACTCAGCTATGTTTATGGTGGGATCACCCCTTATAACCCCTCCCTTTCTTCTCCCCCCCCCCCCCCCCCCAGGTGGAGAAATGCTGCTCTAGGAGCTGCAGAACCTGCGCCGCGCAATGGGCCAAGAGGAGCCCCGCCCCGCCAAGCCCCGCAAAGGGGGGAAGGGGGGAAAGGTCAGCCGGGGGTCCACGGGGAGGGGGGGGGCTCCTCGTGGGGGATGAAGACCGGCTTCCTCTCTGTGTCTCTCTGTCTCTTCCTCCACACAGAAAAAAAAGGGGAAGCGGGGCAAGAAGGAGAAGGACCTGACCCCGGACAGGTAGGGCGGGGGAGAGAGGGGGGAAGGAGGGCGGAAGGGGAAGGACCCCCCCTCCCGAGGAAGGTCCTGGCCCGGAGGGGGATCCCCTTCCTTGTGCCCCCGCTTTCCCCTCTTCCTCCTACAATTAAGGTGGGCCTGGCCAGGAAGGGTCAATCCCACAGGAGGTCCTGCCAAGCCCCCCCACCCCGAACCTCATTTCCCGCAGGTGACGTCATCCGGCGTGTTGGGGAATCTGAGTTGTTAGGCTCAAAATAATAATAATATAACAATAATAATAATCACCCAGTGGTGATCAGCACACTGGGTGCAGTGCCTCAAGACCTTGGCCTGCACTTAAAAACAATCAGCGATGACAACATTACCATCTCTCAGCTGCAAAAGGCCACTTTACTGGGATCTGCACACATTATTCGCGGATACATCACACAGTCCTAGACACTTGGGAAGGGCCCAAGGTGTGATGCAATACAACAGCCAGCAGAGTGATCTTGTCTGTTGTGGACTCATCTTGTTGTGTTTGAATAGTAACAACTTTATTTATACCCCGCTACTGTCTTCCCAAGGGGACTCAAGGAAAAAGATCCATGCAGCTACTTTTTGCCTAGAGAGAGGCAAAATGTGTCCTCACTGGAAGGAAGAAAAGGCAGAAGAGACAAATGCAGACTGCTAACATGAGGCCAAGCCCAACAATTACAAGGCAAAAAGAATTCAACCATACAATCATAGAATAGCACATCAAAATAAAATACAATAAAATATAGCAAAAGAAAATAATTCAAGATAAACACCGGGTATAACATAAAATAACAAATAATATTGAGCAGAGCAGGCTGGGCCAATTACAAAGGATAGAAATTTTAAGCCCTGGGTGAGATGGATGAGTAGAGTAGTGTACTTACATTCTATGAGCTAGGATAAGCTTTCTCTAGGATAAGGATGGCAGAGTCAGAACTTTAGGTTCAAAACCATTTATTAAATTAAAAGAAATACATTCCTGATAGAAAAGGTCTTGGAGCCAACTAGCTTACTCAGTCTCATTTTCTAAAGAAGGTAAAAAGAATAAGATCCATGCAGCTACTTTTTGCCTAGAGAGAGGCAAAATGTGTCCTCACTGGTAGGAAGAAAAGGCAGAAGAGACAAATGCAGACCACATGGCAATAAAACTTCAAGACAAAGTTCCCTCATGGAATTCCATTCCTACATCATTAAAAAGGGGGGAGGGGACAGTGGCTATCATCATAGAGCCAGAACTTTAGGTTCAAATTCATGTATTGAAGTAAAAGAAATACATTCTGAATAGAAAAGGTCTTGGAGCCAACTAGCTTACTCGGTCTCATTTTCTAAAGGAGATTAAAAAAGATTAAAAGATCCATGCAGCTACTTTTTGCCTAGAGAGGGGCAAAATACGTCCTTACTGGTAGGAAGAAAAGGCAGAAGAGACAACTGCAGACTGCATGGTCAACCCAAGGGCAGTAAACTTCAAGACAAAGTTCCCTCACAGAATTCCATTCCTACATCATTAAAAAAAGGGGGAGGGGACAGTGGCTATCATTGTAGAGTCAGAACTTTAGGTTCAAATTCATGTATTGAAGTAAAAGAAATACATTCCTGATAGACAAGCCCTTGGAGTGAGCTAGCTCACTCAGTCTCATCTTCTAAAGGAGGTAAAAAGATCCATGCAGCTACTTTTTGCCTAGAGAGAGGCAAAATGCGTCCTTACTGGTAGGAAGGAAAGGCAGAAGAGACAAATGCAGACCACATGGTCAACCCAAGGGCAATAAAACTTCAAGACAAAGTTCCTTCACAGCTACTTTTTGCCTAGAGAGAGGCAAAATGCGCCCTTAGTGGTAGGAAGGAAAGGTAGAAGAGACCGCGTGGTCAACCCAAGGGCAACAAAACTTCAAGAGGAAGTTCCCTCACATAATTTCCCTACTACATCATCAAAGGGGGGGGGACAGTGGTGGGCAGGAGGAGGGAAGACGAAGCCCATGCACGCTCAACCCTGTCTCTAGCTACTCATTGAGGGCTGGAAACTTGATGACGCAAGAGACTTGTGCAGTCGAGGGATGAAACCCAACATGGCGGCCCCCTTCTCTTCCTCCGCTCTGCCCCCCCCCCCCCCCGCAGGACCGTGGACTCTCTCTACGAGGAGCTGGTCCTGCAGGGCATCATCAAGAGGCCGCCCAAGGTGCAGCTGGCCGACTACGCAGGTGTGAATGGGTGGGGGCGAGGGGGGAGGGAGGGGGCGCTCACCTGAGGTCTCTTGACCTTTTCTCTCCCCCTGCCCCCCCCCCCCCCCGCAGGCGACTTCAACTACCTGGGCTCCATCCTCCGGCAGCAGCAGATAGAGCCGAGCCCCTCCGCGCTGGACATCCGGCAGAACGTGGCCCTCTACGCTATCCTGCGCCTGGGTGGGTGCGTGGGTGGGTGGGCGAGTGGGCGGCCCCTCCCTCCTTCTTTCCCAAGGGAAGGCGCCCCTCCCTCCCCGATTGACCCCTCCCTCCCCTTGGTGGCTTCCCCCCCCCTCCAGGCTCGGCGGCGGTGCATGAGTGTGCGCCGCTGGTGCGGTCGCTGCTGCTGGCGGGCCCCCCCGGGACCGGGAAGCGGATGCTGGTCCACGCCGCGTGCACCGAGGCCGGAGCCAACCTCTTCGACCTCTCGGCCGTCAACCTGGCCGGGAAGTACCCGGGGAAGGCCGGGCTGCAGATGCTCATGCACCTCGTGCTCAAGGTCCGTCCTGGGAGGGGGGGGTAGAGGGGAGGGGTCACGCGTGACACCCTCTCCCTGCGTGACACCCCTCCCCCTGCCCCCGATCCGCAGGTGGGGCGCCTCTTGCAGCCCTCCATCATCTGGGTGGGCGACGCCGAGAAGACCTTCTACAAGAAGGTGCCCCGAGATGAGAAGGAGGTGGGTGGGGGGGCCCAAGGGAGGGGGTGCCAAGGGGGCCCGCGCCTTTGCTTCTTCCTCTGGCTGCCCCCTTCCTCTCCCCCCCGAGATTAGAAATGGTGGGGGGGCCAAGGGGGGGGGGCCAAGGGGTCCCGCTCCTTGCTTCTTCCTCCCGGCTGCCCCCTTCTCCCCCCCCCCGAGATGAGAAGGAGGTGGGTGGGGGGGCCAAGGGAGGGGGGGGCGAAGGGGTCCCGCTCCTTGCTTCTTCCTCCCGGCTGCCCCCTTCTCCCCCCCCCCCCCGAGATGAGAAGGAGGTGGGTGGGGGGGCCAAGGGAGGGGGGGGCGAAGGGGTCCCGCTCCTTGCTTCTTCCTCCCGGCTGCCCCCTTCTCCCCCCCCCCCCGAGATGAGAAGGAGGGGGTGGGCGGGGGGGGGGGGGCGAAGGGGTCCCGCTCCTTGCTTCTTCCTCCCGGCTGCCCCCTTCTCCCCCCCCCCGAGATGAGAAGGAGGTGGGTGGGGGGGCCAAGGGAGGGGGGGGCGAAGGGGTCCCGCTCCTTGCTTCTTCCTCCCGGCTGCCCCCTTCTCCCCCCCCCCGAGATGAGAAGGAGGTGGGTGGGGGGGCCAAGGGGGGGGGGGCGAAGGGGTCCCGCTCCTTGCTTCTTCCTCCCGGCTGCCCCCTTCTCCCCCCCGAGATGAGAAGGAGGTGGGTGGGGGGGCCAAGGGAGGGGGGGGCGAAGGGGTCCCGCTCCTTGCTTCTTCCTCCCGGCTGCCCCCTTCTCCCCCCCGAGATGAGAAGGAGGTGGGTGGGGGGGCCAAGGGGGGGCGAAGGGGTCCCGCTCCTTGCTTCTTCCTCCCGGCTGCCCCCTTCTCCCCCCCGAGATGAGAAGGAGGTGGGTGGGGGGGCCAAGGGGGGGGGGGCGAAGGGGTCCCGCTCCTTGCTTCTTCCTCCCGGCTGCCCCCTTCTCCCCCCCGAGATGAGAAGGAGGTGGGTGGGGGGGCCAAGGGAGGGGGGGGCGAAGGGGTCCCGCTCCTTGCTTCTTCCTCCCGGCTGCCCCCTTCTCCCCCCCGAGATGAGAAGGAGGTGGGTGGGGGGGCCAAGGGAGGGGGGGGCGAAGGGGTCCCGCTCCTTGCTTCTTCCTCCCGGCTGCCCCCTTCTCCCCCCCCCCGAGATGAGAAGGAGGTGGGTGGGGGGGCCAAGGGAGGGGGGGGCGAAGGGGTCCCGCTCCTTGCTTCTTCCTCCCGGCTGCCCCCTTCTCCCCCCCGAGATGAGAAGGAGGTGGGTGGGGGGGCCAAGGGAGGGGGGGGGGAAGGGGTCCCGCTCCTTGCTTCTTCCTCCCCTGGCTGCCCCCCCCCCCCCCCCCGTTTCCCAAAAAAAAAAAAAAAAAAAAAAAAGGAGTCCACCCCCCCCCGAGATGAGAAGGAGGTGGGTGGGGGGCCAAGGGAGGGGGGGGCGAAGGGGTCCCGCTCTTTGCTTCTTCCTCCCGGCTGCCCCCTTCTCCCCCCCGAGATGAGAAGGAGGTGGGTGGGGGGGCCAAGGGGGGGGGGGGCGAAGGGGTCCCGCTCCTTGCTTCTTCCTCCCGGCTGCCCCCTTCTCCCCCCCGAGATGAGAAGGAGGTGGGTGGGGGGGCCAAGGGAGGGGGGGGCGAAGGGGTCCCGCTCCTTGCTTCTTCCTCCCGGCTGCCCCCTTCTCCCCCCCGAGATGAGAAGGAGGTGGGTGGGGGGGCCAAGGGGGGGGGAAGGGGTCCCGCTCCTTGCTTCTTCCTCCCGGCTGCCCCCTTCTCCCCCCCGAGATGAGAAGGAGGTGGGTGGGGGGCCAAGGGAGGGGGGGGCGAAGGGGTCCCGCTCCTTGCTTCTTCCTCCCGGCTGCCCCCTTCTCCCCCCCGAGATGAGAAGGAGGTGGGTGGGGGGGCCAAGGGGGGGGGCGAAGGGGTCCCGCTCCTTGCTTCTTCCTCCCGGCTGCCCCCTTCTCCCCCCCCCCGAGATGAGAAGGAGGTGGGTGGGGGGGCCAAGGGAGGGGGGGCGAAGGGGTCCCGCTCCTTGCTTCTTCCTCCCGGCTGCCCCCTTCTCCCCCCCGAGATGAGAAGGAGGTGGGTGGGGGGGCCAAGGGGGGGGGCGAAGGGGTCCCGCTCCTTGCTTCTTCCTCCCGGCTGCCCCCTTCCCCCCCCCCCGAGATGAGAAGGAGGTGGGTGGGGGGGCCAAGGGAGGGGGGGGGCGAAGGGGTCCCGCTCCTTGCTTCTTCCTCCCGGCTGCCCCCTTCTCCCCCCCGAGATGAGAAGGAGGTGGGTGGGGGGGCCAAGGGGGGGGGCGAAGGGGTCCCGCTCCTTGCTTCTTCCTCCCGGCTGCCCCCTTCTCCCCCCCCCCGAGATGAGAAGGAGGTGGGTGGGGGGGCCAAGGGAGGGGGGGGCGAAGGGGTCCCGCTCCTTGCTTCTTCCTCCCGGCTGCCTGGGGCTCATTCTCTTTTGTCATTATTCTGATTTCCTCGAGACCCGATTGGGTGAACCAAAGGGGAACCAAACCCGTGTGTCGCATATGGTTGCGGGGGGGGGTCATTTGGAGCCGTATGCGTCGCCTGGACATGCCTCTTCTTTGCTCTGTATCTTACTCTTTGTTGTGGGCTCTTGTAGCGACGTCTTGCTTCCCTTAGATTGTCTGCGTGTTACTTCCGACATTTGTA